ACTGAGATCCCTCGTTGGAGTGATCTGCTCAAGTCGGGGGTAGCTATCTTTGATCTTGACTTTGATGCTATTCTTGCTGCCATGTATGCTGTGTCTATTAGTGCTCAGGGTGACTGTTCCGTGTGTGTTCCGCCTGACCCTGGTATTGAGGCTGCTGCTCTAGGTGCTAGTGAGTCTGCTGCTCCAGGTACTTGTGAGTCTGCTCCTCTAGGTGCTGGTGAGTCTGCTCTCTCAGGTACCGAGTCGGCTCAGGTCTTTCACACCTTCACCCTCGACTCGGGTGCTTCCCGCTCCTTCTTTCAAGACCGCACCACCCTTACGTCGCTCAGTCGGCCGGTTGCGGTCTCCCTGGCAGACCCCTCTGGGGGTCCTGTCCTTGCTCGCTACTCCACTGTCCTCCCGTGTCCGGCGGCCCCGTCTGGCTCCCTGTCTGGTCTCTACCTCCCCTCGTTCTCCACGAACTTGGTGAGTGGTGCTGACCTTCAGGATGCCGGTGTTGACCAGTTCACTCCTGCAGGTCAGCGAGTGACCCACTGCACGTGTGCTCAGACGGGCCGCCACTTGGCCACGTTTACCCGTCGACCGGGGTCGAGCCTGTACACACTGACCACAGAGTCAACTCCGGTTGCTGCGTCTGGTCAGGTAGCTGCGTCGAGTCAGGTGTTTACTGCTGCGTCTCGGTCAGGTCCTGAGTCTGCCCCCTGCTCGTGTCGCCTCCTGTCCCACCAGACCCTCCTTTGGCACCACCGACTTGGTCACCCCTCCTTGCCTCGTCTCCGAGGCATGGCCTCCCGTGTCCTTGTCTCTGGTCTCCCCCGGTCCCTCCCTCCCCTTCCCCCGGGGCCTGCCCCTACCTGCGTTCCCTGCGTCAAGGGGCGGCAGCGCGCCGCTCCTCACTCCTCCGAGTTCCCCCCCACAGAGGCTCCACTGCAGACACTTCACATGGACGTGTGGGGCCCAGCCCGCGTCCGTGGACAGGGTCACGAGCGTTACTTCCTGCTGGTGGTTGACGACTACTCGCGTTACACCACTGTCTTCCCCTTGCGCAGCAAGGGTGAGGTCACTGAGGTGTTGATCGACTGGATCCGCGTTGCTCGTCTCCAGCTCGGAGAGCGTTTCGGCTCGGACTTTCCTGTTCTGCGTCTGCACTCCGACAGAGGCGGAGAGTTTTCCTCCGACCTTCTACGAGCTTTCTGTCGTGCAGAGGGCATCCGCCAGACGTTCACGCTTCCGGCCTCTCCACAGCAAAATGGGATTGCTGAGCGCCGCATTGGCATGGTCATGGATGTCGCTCGTACGTCCATGATCCATGCGGCTGCTCCCCATTTTCTGTGGCCGTTCGCGGTTCAGTACGCGGCGCATCAGATCAACCTTCAGCCCCGGGTCTCCCTGCCGGAGACCTCCCCTACTCTGCGGTGGACGGGGAAGGTTGGTGATGCGTCTGCGTTCCGTGTCTGGGGATCTCGAGCTTTCGTTCGAGACTTGTATGCGGACAAGCTGTCCTCCCGTGCTGTTCCTTGCGTCTTCCTCGGCTTTCCCCCTGACGCGCCTGGTTGGCAGTTTTACCACCCCACCTCGCGTCGTGTTCTGTCCTCCCAGGACGTCACGTTTGACGAGTCGGTTCCGTACTACCGTCTCTTCCCCTACCGCACTGCCCCCCTCCCCCCCCCGCCGCTCTTCCTCGCGCCCGGTCCCCCCCGGGTAGACCCCCTCCCCACTCAGGGTCCTGCCCCCTCAAGTGTGTCCCAGGTAGATGCAGTCGAGCCTGTCGAGGTAGCTGCTGACTCGGGTGCGTCTGGGGGTGCTGAGCCTGAGGGTGCTGAGTCTGGGGGTGCTGAGCCTGGGCGTGCGGAGTTTGGGGGTGCTGAGCCTGGGGGTGCGGAGCCTGGGGGTGCTGGGTCTGGGGGTGCTGAGCCTGAGCGTGCGGAGCCTGGGGGTGCTGCTTCTGGGGGTGCTGAGCCTGGGGCTGCTGGGAGTGGGGGTGTGGAGCCTGCCGGTGCTGGACCTGGCGGTCCTTCGGGTGCGTTGTCCCGGCGGGAGCTTCCCTCTCCACAGGAGCTGCGCGAGTTGTTTGCTCGCCGCTGGAGCCGTGCTGCTGGAGCTGGAGGTGCTGCCGCTGCTGGAGGTTCTGCTGCTACTGGAGGACTGGAGCTGGCGGTGCTATTGGAGCCGGTATTGGAGGTTCTACTTCTGCTGGGGGTGCTGGAGCCACGGGTCTCGGAGGTGCTTGTACTGGAGGTACTGGAGCTGCTGGGCCTGCTGGTGCTCCTAGTGCTGGAGCTGGTGGTGCAGCTGGAGTGGGCGCTACTGGAGGTACTGGAGCCGGAGCGGGTGTGTCTGCTGGTGGTACTGCTGGAGTAGGAGCTGCTGGAGGTACTGGGACTGGTGGTGCTGCTGGAGGTGGAGCTGACGCTGGGTCACGCGTTTCCTAGCCACTGTTGTCACTGACCCTTCCTTCGAGTCCACTGCTGCGTCTGCCTTAGTTACCGAGCTTGTCGACTTCGCTGCTCACTGTCGTCTAGACTACGCCGCTAGTCTTGTTGCTGAGTCTGCGTCTGTCTGTCCTCCGTCCGTCGGGGGTGAGTGTGCTCTTAGCACGGACGTCCTTGAGGACCGACAGGAGGAGTTCCAGTGTTTTGCTGCTGCTTTACCTCATCTCGTGTCCACGCTGCTTGCCCCTGAGGGAGACCCGGATGCACCAGACATCCCGACCCCGCGCTCTTACGCAGAGGCGATAGAGGGTCCTTACTCCTCTCAGTGGCAGGCAGCCATGGACGCTGAGATGGCTTCCTGGAAGTCTACAGGCACCTACGTCGACGAGGTTCCCCCTCCTGGGGCGAACATTGTCAGTGGCATGTGGATTTTCAGGGTGAAGTGGCCGCCGGGTTCTCCGCCTGTCTTCAAGGCGCGCTACGTGGCTTGAGGCTTCAGTCAGCGGCAGGGAGTTGACTTCTTTCAGACCTTCTCCCCGACCCCGAAGATGACCACTCTTCGGGTTCTGCTGCACGTTGCTGCTCAGCGTGACTACGAGCTTCACTCTCTTGACTTCAGCACTGCTTTCCTACAGGGCAGTCTGCACGAGGAGATCTGGCTGCGCCGCCCACCTGGCTTCACTGGGTCGTTTCCTCCTGGTACCCAGTGGAGCCTCCGGCGGCCAGTCTACGGTCTCCGCCAGGCGCCACGTGAGTGGCACAACACACTGAGGACTACGCTTGCGGCTCTTGGATTTGCTCCTTCCACTGCTGACCCGTCGCTGTTTCTTCGCACCGACACTTTGCTGCCGCCGTTCTACATCCTCGTGTACGTCGACGACTTGGTCTTTGCTACAGCTGACACTGCTGGACTCGCCCACGTGAAGTCCGAGCTGCAGAAGAGACACACGTGCACAGACCTGGGTGAACTGCGCAGCTATCTTGGCTTGCAGATCACCCGAGACAGAGCACGGCGCACCATTACCTTGACTCAGTCACACATGGTGCAGCAGGTCCTTCAGCGCTTCGACTTCACGTACTCCTCGCCTCAGGCCACTCCTCTGTCTACTCGCCACTCGCTCTCAGCTCTGCCTTCGGATGAGTCCGTAGAGCCGAGTGGCCCGTACCCAGAGCTTGTTGGCTGCCTCATGTACCTGATGACCTGCACTCGACCTGACCTAGCATACCCTCTGAGCATTCTGGCACGCTATGTTGCTCCTGGGAGACACCGACCAGAGCACATGGCTGCAGCGAAGAGGGTGTTGCGCTACTTGTGCAGTACTTCAGGCTTGGGGCTAGTGCTTGGAGGGCGGAGTCCGGTGGTCCTCACTGGTCACGCAGACGCGTCTTGGGTTGACGACCTGGCTACGCAGCGGTCGTCACAGGGTTACACCTTCAGCCTTGGTTCCGGCTCTGTTTCGTGGCGGTCTACTCGCTCGTCTTCTGTTCTCAGCTCCAGCAGTGAGGCTGAGATCTACGCAGGGGCCATGGCTGCACAGGAGTTACGCTGGCTCACCTACTTGCTGACTGACCTGGGAGAGCCGCCTCGTTCTCCTCCAGTTCTGTACGTAGACAACAAGGCTATGCTGGCCTTGTGTCGGGAGCACAGACTGGAGCACAGAACGAAGCACATTGCTCTTCGCTACTTCCTTGCTTGTGAGCTGCAGCAGCGTGGTCAGCTGCGCCTTGCTTACGTGGCCTCTCAGGCCAACACTGCTGATATCTTTACCAAGGCACTTCAGCCTTGTGATCATCAGCGCTTCTGTGCTATGCTCGGTCTTGTGCCTACTTGGCCTCACTTGCTTACCTCTTGAGTTTGCTTGTACTGTGATCTCTATATACCTGCACTTGCTTGTTTACCTTTATATATGAACTTGCACGTGAACTGGCCTTATGGCCTTTGAACCTGTGCTCAGACTGTGTGGTGACGTTGTGATCCACCCTGAGCTTGCTTTCCTTTGCTTTGCTTTGCTTGACTGGTCTTTTGACCCCTAGTTCTCCCCCACTTTGCCTATGGGGGTGTGTCAGATATATATGCCTTAGCCTATGTAGGCCGTAGTGGGGTAGACACTAAGGGGTACAGCTTTCATATTTGTATCTCACACTTTCCTAGTTCATTCATTCCTGTTTCATTCTTCACAGTTACAGGCTCGTTGTCCTGGGGGGTTATGGGCGCACTAACCCGCTAGTCGCGACACTCGCACTATTTTTAGGGCGGGTTAATGCTGCCCCGCATAATTTGTGCGCTGGTTGATGCTAGCTCTCGAAGGGGGAACCAGCAGCGCACTAGTTGTGCGACCGTTTGCCCGGGGAAGAAACAACTTCGAACCAGCAAACAGTTAAATTTGTGCGCCCCAAAAGTGGTGTTCTAAAGGCGGAAGCTTTAAATTTGGCGCAAACAGGTTTGGCAGGACCTCTCTTATCACCAAACCTAGATAAGCAGAAGACCACATATCAACGAAGATTCTCTAAACACAGTTTTTGGAAATTGAACGCCTACAGAACAAAGCCCTTACAACAACTCAAAAAATGAAAATGCTAACTGTGGGATTGGAGCCTGCAAAAGCGATTTATCCGTCTGTCACCTCTGTCCTCCCGTTCTGCCATCGCCTCCCTCTTAGCCCGCCGTCACTTCCCCTCTCATCCCGCCATCCCCTCTCATCCCGCCGTCGCCTCCCCTCTCGTCCCGCCCTCGCCTCCCCTCTTCCGCCCTCGCCTCCCCTCTCATCCCGCCGTCGCCTCCCCTCTCATCTCGACCTCGCCTCCCCTCGCCGTCGCCTCCCCTCTCATCCTGCCCTCGCCTGCCCTCTCATCCCTCCGTCGCCAGCGTTTCGCGAAGCTCCTCCGTCGCACTCCGCGATGCCCGATGCGCCACTAAATTGACGCGCAACACTCGCCGCGGACCGTCCCTGCCCCGGCAGTGCGCTTCAGACGTGAGGCGCAGGGCACTCGTGGCGGGGGCGGCATCATCATGGTGCTGCTGACAATCATCCGCAAGCTGAAGCGCAAGGAGCGTGAGATGCGCATCCTCATGGTGTACGTGCAGCTGCCCCGCTCGCCGCTGCCCCGCTCGCCGCTGTCTCGCGCTGATATTCCCCTCTTCCTAAGTATTTATGCGACGACGCATGTTGTCAGGTCCCCTCTTGCAGCCCGTCATACCAACTCCGCGCGCCCTTTCTCTCCTCCGCGGCCCTTCTCGCCCTCCCGCTCCTCCTCTACCGCTTCTCGCCTCCGTCTGTCGTCGCGCGCCGTTCCTGAGCTCCGCGCGCCCCTTCGTTCGCTGGCAGGGGGCTGGACAACGCGGGCAAGACGACGATCGTGATGCGGTTCAACGGCCAGGATACGTCGCAGGTGGGCCCCACGCTGGGGTTCAGCATCACCACTCTGCGCTACAAAGGGTGAGCCCTGATGGGGGGGGGGGGGGCTAGGGGGAGGGGAGAGGAGGGGGGGGGTGGGGAAGACGGGTGTTAGTTTGCAAGATTGGTTTGGCAGGCAAGGAGCAGAGCAGGGGCTAGGGGTTGAAGCAAGTGGCATGTGGGAGGGACGACACGTTGCGGGGGGAAGGAACTGCAGGAGGGCGCGAGGGAAGTCACACCAGATCCGCCCTTCTGCCCGCCACCGCCCCCTCGCTCCTGCTTCTTTGACCTCGCCCTCCCCATGCCCCACCCCTCTGGGTGGCAGGTTCAACCTGAACGTGTGGGACGTGGGTGGGCAGCGCACACTGCGAGCATACTGGCGCAACTACTTTGAGCGCACGGACGGACTCGTGTGGGTCGTTGATAGCTGCGACCGCCTGCGCCTCGCTGACTGCCGTGACGAGCTGCACCGCGTGCTGCTGGAGGAGGTGCGGGGGGGAGGGAGCGGGAGATGGAGGGGAGGGAGGGGAGGCGTGGGAAGGGGAAGGTGAGACATTACTGCTGTTGAAATCTTGTTTTTCTTAACACATGGTTCTCGACTGCCTGCCTCTGCTCCCGTCTGCGTCCGCCCCACCAGAGGCTGGCAGGCGCGTCTCTGCTGGTGCTGGCCAACAAGCAGGACCTGTCAGGCGCTCTCAGCACCGAGGAGATGAGCAAGGTGGGCGGAGAGGGGGGGAGAGGGTCGATGAGAGAGGGTGTGAGAGGTGGCCGGAGAGAGGGTAAGAGAGTTGGTCTTCCGATCTACACCCAAACGTGACGCATACAAGTATGTGGATGTGCCTGCCTGTCGCCATGCTGCTTCACCTCTCACCTCGCCCGTACCTGGACACATAGGCTCTGTGTGAAGCCGGGGTTCAAACTTCAAAGCAGGTCTCACCTTATTCATGTGATGCCCCGCCCCCTCTCCCACGCGCTACCCGCAGGTGCTGGGTCTGAAGGCCCTAGCGGAGGGCAGGCGGCACTGCCACCTCGTGCCCTGCAGTGCCAAGACCGGCGAGGGGGTGCTGAGGGGATTCGAGTGGCTTGTGACTGACATTGCCTCGCGGATATACATGTTCGACTAGCACCTGTTGCCAGAATAATTGTGCAGGAATGATTGGATTAGCAAGAGTTGGGGTACAAGTACTAACCCTAGAAGTGCTGTACCCCATAAGGAGTGCCCCACTATAGCCTACAAGTAAGATTGTACTTTGACACACCCCCATAGGCTAAGTGGGGGACAACAAGACGGTCACAAGACTAGTCAAGCAAGACAACAGAGCAAAGCAAACCAAAGCTCAGGGTGGATCTCAAGGACACCACACAATCCGAGCACAAGCAAGTGGCCACAAGGTCAGTTCACATGCAGAGTTATAACAGCAGGGCAGTACACTGATCACAACCTAGCAAGAGTAAACAAGCAAGTATAAAAATACATATCAGTGTACAACAAGAGCAAGTCAAGCAACCAGCAGGTGAGGCAGAGTGGGCACAAGCCCAAGAGCAGTGCAAACACGCTGATGATCACCAGACCCAAGGGCCTTGGTGAACACACCAGCAGTGTTGGCCCGCGAGGCCACATAGGAAAGGCGGAGCTGACGACGCTGCTGCAGCTCTCATGCGCAAGGAAGTAGTGAAGAGCAATGTGCTTCGTTCTGTGCTCAAATCTCTGCTCGGGACACAAAGCAAGCATTGCCTTGTTGTCGACGTTGAGAACTGGAGCAGAACGAGGCCGCTTCTCCAAGTCGGTCAGTAGGTAGGTCAGCCAGCGTAGCTCCTGTGCATCCATGGCCCCAGCGTAGATCTCGGCCTCACAGCTGGAACCAAACACAGAAGAAGAATGAGTGGACCTCCACGAGACAAAACCAAAGCCAAGACTGAAGGTGTAACCCTGTGAGGAACGCTGAGTCGCCTGGTCGTCGGCCCAAGAAGCGTCAGAGTGTCCTGTGAATACCACTGAACCCTGTCCTCCAAGCACGAGCCCCATGCCCGATGTACAGCACAAGTAACGCAGTTCCCTCTTCGCAGCATCCCAGTGCACCTTTCAGTGTCTATCGTGAGCCACGTAGCGAGCGAGGAGGCTCAGAGGGTACGCGAGGTCAGGTCGTGTGCACGTCATCAGGTAGATGAGGCAACCCACAAGCTTTGAGTACAGACCACTCGGCTCTACGGACTCGTCCGAAGGTGGAGCTGAGAGCGAGTGGCCGGTAGATAAAGAAGTGGGCTGTGGCAAGGAGAACTGGAAGCCGAAGCGCTGAAGGACCTGGTGCACCATGTGTGACTTAGTCAGGGTGATGGTGCGCCGTGCTCTGTCCCAGGTGATATGCAAGCCAAGATCGCTGTGCAGCTCCTAGTCACGCTGTGCTGGAACGTACAGTACCACCCGAAGAATAGTCATCTTCGGGGTGGGGGAGAAGGTATGGAAGAAGTCGACCCCCTGTCGCAGACTGAAGCCTCGAGCAACGTAGCGCGCCTTGAAGGCAGGCGGATAACCCGGCGGCCACTTCACTCTGAAATCCACATGCTGCTATAGTCACAATAGGCCCGAATGTGCCTAAAACGAAAGATAGAGTGCAAAGTCGGATTTCTGCACAGCGGCTTCAAACGTTGATATCATTCTGTTTACAGCTTCAAATGACTTGCTATAAATTGGATCTGGAGCGTCTTGATATCGCTTGCAGTAGGCAATTTACATCACACGATTTCATCAAGTATTGATGACGCAACGTTGGTTTCAACGAACGGCACTATGGCAGCCACTATAGTCTTAGAACACAAATTAGGAAGAGTTACGAGTTGGGAATGACTCCCAGCTCATACAAACCCCAAGAGCCGAGGAATAGTGATGTGGAACATTGCCACACTGTCCCCAACCACGAAGGGTCTCGAAACTACCCTCCACAAGGGCCTACACCAAGGGAAATGTTACACTACACAAAGTAATGTAACTATTCTCACTATCTTGAAGTTTACCCTTTTGGAGAGTTTCGAAATCACTTGAATCTTGAAACCAAGGCTCTGGTTCTTCAAGATAAATTACTCCTTGAGTTCTTGGAAGTCTGGTGCACACAGCTGCGACACGCCGAACGTTCCACACACGACAAAATAGAAAACCACATACGACACGCAAACGACGACGTGACACGCGACTAGCGATAACTCGCTATTAACTCAACACACACATTCAAAAATCATGCCTCATCTTTCACACACTATTGTAAGCATGAAATATATATTATCTCATGCCCTCATACCATTCCATACACAAACGTATGCACGCACACGGACAACAAGCCAAATGCAAACCGTAGGGTTGCATCAACAAACCCCCCCTCGGATTGTTGGCCTTAGGATCTTGTTCTCTCAGTTCAGAGCCATCCCAGCCAGCTTGCAACACTTCCAATGGTGCTACTCCACCAGGCTCTTGGTCATCATGTCAGCTGGCTGCCTTGTCGTCTTCACGTACTGCAACTCAACTTCACCCGCGGCCACCATGCTCCTCGTCCAATGCCATGTCACCCTCATGTGCTTCGTGAGGCCATGCAACACATGGTTCTTAGCAAGAGCAATGGCATCTTGGCTGTCACAGTAGACTGGGATAGGTCCTTGCTGCTCCTCCCCCAATTCAGCCAACAAACGCCGCTGCCACACAATCTCCCGTACGGCACGGAAGAGTGCCATGTACTCCGACTCCACCGAGCTCAATGCTTGATCCACCTTCTTCTTGCTCTCCCAAGCAATTGGGCCTCTACCAACACAGCAAATGAACCCTCCAACACTTGTCATGTCCTCTGGTTCCGATGCTTAAAAAGCATCCGAGAATGCGGTGGGGAACAAACGCCCGAGGTCAACACCATCTGCGCCCTTTTGGCGCCTTTGCGCCGCCGCCGAGTATTGCAGCCCAACCGTCGCTGTTTGGCCAAGATACTTGGCCACCCTCATTCCAACTACTACCTGCTCCTCATTAGGGCATTGAACAACCCTAGCCAGCTGCCCAGTAGCAAAGGCGACGTCCGATCGGGTGTTTACCGCCGCGTACATGAGGCTGCCCACAAACGAGTGAAAACGACGCGTCTCCTCTTCACCAACGCTCTCCTCCTCTGGTCCCTTCACAAACTTGGAGGACAGGGTCCAGTTGTTCTCACTGGACACGCAGATGCTTCTTGGGTTGACGACTTGGCTACGCAGCGGTCGTCACAGGGTTACACTTTTTAGCCTTGGCTCCGGCTCTGTTTCTTGGCGGTCTACCCGCTCGTCGTCTGTTCTCAGTTCCAGTTGTGAGGCTGAGATCTACGCAGGGGCCATGGCTGCACAGGAGTTACGCTGGCTCACCTACCTGCTGACCGACTTGGGAGGGCGGCCTCGTTCTTCTCCAGTTCTGTACGTAGACAACAAGGCCATGATTGCCTTGTGTCAGGAGCACAGACAGGAGCACAGAGCGAAGCACATCGCTCCGTGTTACTTCCTTGCTCGAGAGTTGCACCAGCATTAAAGCTTCATCTTGCTTACGTGGTCACTCGGACCAACACTGTTGATATATTCACCAAGGCACTTCAGTCTGGTGATCATCAGTGTTTCTATACTGTTTTAGGCCTTGTGCCTACTGTGCCTCACTTGCTCACTGCGTGACCTTGCTTGTACTGTGATCTATACACATACCTGCATGCTTACACTTGCAAGGCTATGATCACTGTACTATTTGTTCTCTTTTTTATAACTCTGCATGTCGACTGGCCCTGTGGCCATTTGCTTGTGCTCGGAATGTGTGGTGACTTCGTGATCCACCCTGAGCTTGCTAAGCTTTTCTTGACTGGTCTTGTGACCACTTGTTCTCCCCCAGTTTGCCTATAGGGGTGTGTCAAAATGTTATAATGCTTACATTGTGTAGGCTATAATGGGGTAGCCCATAAGGGATACAATCCAATTAGGGTCAGTACTTGTACCAACTTTCTGTTCAATGAATCCATTCTTGTTCAGTATTCTGACACTGCAGCCCTGCTGAAGCTGAACAATCACGCCAGCTCGACTATAACAGGGCAAATGAATAGCGTGAATGTTAAACAATTGCGTTGCGGTAACTATTTCTCGTGAATTTCCTATATAACTTAATGTATTGGAAGTCTATTACTACACAATTCTCACACTTATGTCCGGCTAACCCTCAGCGGCCGCAGTGGCACCACATGCCAGGCAAGAAGAGCTATCTCTGGGTGACCATTGCTCGCCGCATGATCGTCGTTAATCCTTCATATAGGATTCCGATGCGCTCTTACGACCTATGGATTATATAATGGTATCACGAGCAAGAGTTCCAATGCTTGGAACTTGTGGGACCAGATTTATACATTTTGGCTCACAAGGAGTATCTCCTGAAGCAGGTTCAAACCTGTCGCATTTTGGCAAAGTCTCGGCAAGGAATTCAGATCTGTAACGTGGCAAAACGTCAAACCTCCTCGTTTGTACACCTCTATGTCTAAGTAACGAATGAGGATGGAATGAACTACGAAACAGTTGGGTACAAGTACTAACCCTAATTGGGTTGTACCCCTTGTGGGCTACCCCACAACAGCCTACTCAAATATATAAGCTATAATTGTCAGAATATGTTATATTTGTCTAGCCTGCAGTGGGGTACTCAATAGTGAGTACAGCCCAATCTAGGGTTTCCTATATGTATCCACCTGCTTGCTAGTCCAACTCTCTTCTTTTGCTTATTCTCTCTTGCCTGGCTAGCTAAACCCAAGCCATGGCTCCTCATACTGCCTACTATCTTAACAATAATGTTCTGACACACCCCCATAGGCAAAGTGGGGGAGAACAAGTGGTCACAAGACCAGTCAAGAAAAGCAAAGCAAGCTCAGGGTGGATCACAAAGTCACCACATAGTCCGAGCACAAGCAAAGGGCCACAAGGCTAGTTCACATGCAGAGTTAAATAAAAGAGAACAAACAATACAGTGATCATATCCTAGCAAGTGCAAGCATGCAGGTATATATATAGATCAGAGTACAACAGAGTCAAGCAGTAAGCAAGTGAGGCAAAGTAGGCACAAGGCCTAACACAGTAACAAAGCGCTGATGATCAC